TCTGCTCTGTGCGGGGGGAAACATGGGGCTGGAGTAGCCCCTAGCATGGGGTATTTGGAGTTACGGATGAGGAGAAGAGGCGCAGACATCTGGATAAGAATTATTTCAGGTCACATTATTTTGTTATGAAATAACAACAAAGCAAGAGGAACGCGATTGGCCAAGGCAAGCTTCAAGCTGTGCGAGCATTTCACTGAATAATGCAGGCTGGGGCTTGCCTGGGTTATGTAACGATGGAGGTGGAAGGAGTTGGAGTTTGGCATGGAAAACCGCCCGTGCTTTTCAGATGGTTGAAGATAGCTGGCTTTAGTCAGAGTGAATCCAAGTGAATCTTCAATATTCACATGTCCTGCTGTATCGGGACGTCTTGTCAAATCATGCTCTTAATGAGCGGTGTGGGAACAAGCACAAAAACCTCCTGCGTTATTTTTGATCTTGCGAGCATGTCTCGCATTTAGTAGTATCTGGAGTGTAGCGTTGTGCCAGCTTCTAAATAAAAATCTGGTGCAGCTTTTTTGTAGCTGACCTGCAAAATTCTGCAGTAATGAAAATGATCTAAAAGGTCTTCCCAAGCTTAGGGGAAGCTCAACATGAGGAGCAGGGAAGGGATATGATTTAACACGAGCCTGAGTTTAAATTAAACAAGCAAATGTCTCCGATTTCAACCCACCTCCTATCATCCTGTAAAGATCCTAATCCGTTTGTAAAATACTGGAGCTAAATGGTAACATTTGCCTACTAAACATCTGCTGTCCGGCCTTCGCGTAGTCCATCCTTTGTTTAAAGGCTTCTGCCTGGGAAAAGCAGAGACTGCAGAAAAAGGAACATTTGAGGTGAGCACCAGTGCTGAAACGGTCAGTGAGGACGTGGAGCCGAGGGTGCTGATACCCCGTGCAGGGGAAGCTGTGGGGTGAGGGCTGACTTCGGCTGAGTTGGGGTGACACCTCCTCCCCCAGGGAGGAGGATCCAGCCCGGCCTCGCCGTGGCAGAGGCTGCGTTTCCCAACCTGGCTGCGTTGTCTGCTGGTCCGGGAGGAAGAGCTGGGGAGGAGGAAGGGCTGGAGAGCGAGAGACACATGCCGAGCAGCCATGCCAAGAGCCCAGAGACATTTCAGCTGCTTGGTTATAGAGGTGCTTTGATCTACAGCGAATAAACCGATAATGCTTAAATTATGAATTCCTTTTCTTTGTCTGAAAAGCTGGATTAGCGTGGCTTTGTTCGAGCGGTGATTATCGAGCAACTTTTTTTTTTTTCTGCAAGGGCTGCGAGGTTTGTGTTTACAGCTGGGTGCTGGGATCGTGCTGCGCTGGCGGAGGGGCTTGGTGACATAACAGCTCTCGCACGTCCTCCTCTGCTGCTTTTTGAACTGTAAACCCCTCCGAAAATACAACCTTGGCTGCCTTGGTGACAGTGTGGAGCTAACAATTAATCGGCATGAGCTGTGGACGGGAAGAGGCACTAAAAAGCCTTGTTTTCGTTAGGGGCTGCGGCTTCGGAGCTGAGCGAACCCGCCTCTTTGTTTTCTGTTGGGTCTGCCAGCGATTGTGAAACGCAGCCTTCTTGGAAAAGGCTGACGCACAGGTATCACGACACGAGGCGAAGGTTGAGAGGAGCTGCTCTGCGAACGTTACCAAAGGTCGCGGCGGTTCCTCCCCTTGTCCTTTGTCCCCTCTTCCCAGCCCTCAGCATCCGGACAAAGGTCGCTCCTCGCAGCGTGGTCGCCTCCATCTTGCCTTAACACGCGATCTGCGTAACGAAACGCAGCGTTACCGCTGCCTCTCCTCCCCCCAGCCCTCCAGAAAG